CTCACCCACTAATTTTCTCTTTTCACTCTAGGGCGTTAAATATAACTAGATGAGTATTATGGTTGTACAGCAGTGAAGCATGTGTCAAAACTGATTTTGCTGTCCTTGATGATGATGTCATAGAATAAGAAGACATTGAGAACAAAAATACGCAAAACAAATACCGAACAATGTGTGGACTAGCTGGACTCCTCAATATTTATTCAACATACGACGAGTCGGAACCCAATACGCATATTACACGGACAATATTCACCAAATAGAAGTAAAATCAAAAAGTGATCATGAGATGTCTACTTGACCAGCAGGCTCCTCAATCTACAACTTCAAGCGAACTGTTGGTCCATTAGAACCATGGAGTGGAGCGGAAATTGTGAGGCTAAGATAGCTAACCAGTTTTATGTTGCCGAAGAAAAGAAACCTTAGGATAAAAAATGTAATAAGCCAACCGGCCGGGATGAAGCCAAAGGATCCCTACAAATTTGGGCGGTATCTGACGAAAACAGAAAATCGGAATTAGTCTGGGACAGAGAGTGGAGGTCGAGCCATTTAGGAAAAGAGTTCGGGAGACAGTTCCAGAGTTTGTCTGAAGATATAGCACAGACCATCGACGCAGGTACTCTGTTCTAGAGGAGTAACAAATCGACAACAAACTAACACGACGAACCTGGTCTCTATACCCAGACTGGAAGGCTGTAAGTTTATCACTATGGCGGTCGGTACTGTGCCCGAGGCAACCACAGTATCTGAGGGGGGATTTTAAGATGATAGCCGTTCTGAAGTAGGAGAGGATTCAGAGAGATGGGATGATCCCAGCTGATCTTCGAGGAGGGATTTCTAAGCCAGAGTAATTGAGCTTAAGTTAAGTGTTTTCACTGCCGACTAAAGTGTTCTAGGGGGGCCGGGAAGTCCGTGAACTGGCGGCCGATCAAGTCCATCGCGGTAGACGGTTGATACAGGTGTCTATTCAAATTTTCTTCGTATTGTGCAAGGCACGGTTTACCTAAGTAAACATTCGGAAGTCTATTTGTCCTTAGTTTTCCTAAACACGTTGACCTCAGTCAGTGGTTGCTCGCACAGTTAGAACGAGCATAGAAATGTGAGACCTCCCCATGACGATCCAACGCTCGGCCGTGTTCCTCTGCAGCAACGCTCTCCAGTGAAACGTTCCTTGTCCAGAGCTTTCTGTTGCGACTGATCCAGAAGGTATGGGCATAGCTGAAAAGATACGCCTAAATTTTACGCGAAATATATTCGGCTAGGTTCGCTCTAAGCGTATCTTCTTCAGTATACCTAATCGGTTGGTTATTATCACGTCACGTGGGAGGGTTTTGAGCGTATATCCATTGTAGTGGGGTATTGCTGCTTTACCAGGTAACCAAGTGAAATAATGTGCGCGGGACGTGAGGTTTGTGAAAATGATATAGAGGTGAACGCAGTCATTAGAGGGAGCAAACGAACTCGTAAAACCGGTCGCCAGAATGCCGAAGAAAGGAAGACATACGAGCTGGCGAGGACTACGATACCAATCTCAACCAGCGGAGGGCGTGGAATGTCCACGAATTCTGAGGGAATTTGCGAACTGCCGTATTAGGGAATATGAATCGTCTCTTATCGGTCGCTTTCGCTCGAACATTGCAACATGTTCTTGACTCCGCCGCTTGTGATTGTCTAGATACTAGTTCAGCGAAAACCTAAAAAATCGTTCAGCTGTAGTACCCTTTCGGTGCCTAGCTTCCATGCCACACGAGGGCTGGGATACTGCCAGGTTGCTCAAGCCTAGACAGGGGAAGTCGAGAGGCAGAGGTCGGGTTCGAACCACGGACTTTTCGGTCAGTAAATTCGCGCTCTAACCACTGAGCCATCAGCTGCCGAAGAAATTACTTTTCCTGAAGAAGTGTGGCTACGCAAGCTGCGAGAGAGTGGTAATGAAATCTACGAGTTGCATCACTTATCTTACTTCTGACTCGGCTCGGCTTGTCCCATATCTAGTAATTTTCTCCTCGTGCTATATGGTTTTTCATTCACCCCTGATCTCACCGGAGGCACATGCATACATGCTCGAGATTCTTTACATATAAGCATAGCACTCAACTCTCTCATCCACTCGCTAAGTCATACACCGTGGCTGGATTCACCTACAGCCGCCCTAGTGTCCAAGCTTACTCTTTTCAAGCTTGTCACGCCTTCAATTCGCTGCCGAAGAAATTACTTTTCCTGAAGAAGTGTGGCTACGCAAGCTGCGAGAGAGTGGTAATGAAATCTACGAGTTGCATCACTTATCTTACTTCTGACTCGGCTCGGCTTGTCCCATATCTAGTAATTTTCTCCTCGTGCTATATGGTTTTTCATTCACCCCTGGAGGCACATGCATACATGCTCGAGATTCTTTACATATAAGCATAGCACTCAACTCTCTCATCCACTCGCTAAGTCATACACCGTGGCTGGATTCACCTACAGCCGCCCTAGTGTCCAAGCTTACTCTTTTCAAGCTTGTCACGCCTTCAATTCGTTGTCTACTCCACACTCTTTATATTATGAGACTTCAACATAGCGTCCATTAACGGTGAGACTTGGATCTCCTCTCGACCGAGTTTCAGCGCTGTTTAACGGTCAGGTTGACGTCAATACCTTATCGAGCCGGTTCCGTAGAGGACACCGACCGTCCCCTTTGAACCTTGGGTACACCAATTTAGGACCCATGTTAAGTGACGTCACGAAAGTCATCCCTTCGGGACGTTTGGCCAATTCGTTCTACGACAAGGGATTATTCGATACCGGAACTCATCCAAAATCAACTGCCACACGTCCTACCCTCCGAAGTGAAACACGCTTAAAAGTCAATAGGTTCGTGAACACAGTCGACTTAGCCCCGTCATTTTGTTAACAATGAAAGAGTGAGAACCGGTCGCATCTAATTTAACAACACCCGATTCTTGAAAAAATATATAGTCGTTCAGCTGTAGCACCTTTTCGGTGCCTGGATGTCATACAACCCGAACGAAGTACGAGTGTTAAGACACTGCCAGGTTGCCCAAGCCTGAACAGAAGCAGTCGAGATACCCAGGCTGGGTCAGAACCACGGAACTTCCAGCCATTAAGTGTGCGCCCTAACCACTGAGCTATCTTGATCCTCGTTTCCTCTTTATACCATCTTCACCACATTAACCACTCCGTAGGTTAGACATGTCAGCTGACTTGGACGACTCTCGAACAGTAAACGTAAGTCATGAAATAGCTACTCCCGAAGACAATGCCAATTTATGACTACTACCCGTTTCATCGCCGACAATCGGTACCGATCACTGCATACGACAGAGGGCCGAAACCCTCTACAGTACGTGGCTCACCTAAGCACTGGCTCTACATACGACAGAGGGCCGAAATCCTCTACAGTACGTGGCTCACCTAAGCACTTTCAATACATGCGATTTGGGGGGATAGGCAATTCTGTATCGCTGTCAGCGATTATCAGATCGAGATAACTGAAGAGGGCCAAGCGCTGGCACAAACATGTACTCACTTCCATACACTTGACCCCAACAGCCAAATCCTTCTTACATCTGAGTTCAGTTCTTCCCAGTTAACTAACCACAAACCATGTACCAGGGGCACGTTGGCCCAAGGTGTCACACTTTCGGTAACCGGAAAAGAGGAACGGGGTAAGCATAAGCAAACACCCGAGGCGATGAGATAATCACTTAGTTCGTACCGACTCAGTTCAGCTATTTTGAGAAAACAGAAACTAGACAGCTATGTACTATAGATGACACCTTGATGGAGGATAGTCACTGAATGCGTGAGTGAGTCATGTATGCAAACCTCACTAACCACCAGTGAGTTGGGTGCCAGGGTAACCATACAGAGACAGTTTACTGGCAAGCGCTGTCATACTTCTTTTCCAGGTCACAGACTCACCAATTCTTGGTAGATTCCACGGAGCACAAGGCAAGGCACAAAGGGCTCTGAGGTAGACCGTATGGGACGTCCCCTGGCATGTTAAGTACATGTCCCAAACAGCGCAAACTGTGAAGCGTGAGTAGCTCACATGTCACCGAAGAGTTTCTTCCTGCAAGGACGATCTGAGATAACTTAACAATCCTAATCCTATATTCTAAGCCCTGCGCGCACTTTTCAGGTCCGTGAAGCAGTATGGATCGCACTGTCACAGTGTATAATCTGCCCGTGATAGATAAACTCATGTCACTTCAGTGACATGGGCGGACGAGCTTAAAAAGTGTGTCCCCAACCTTCCCGATTCGGGAAGTAATCTGGTTAGGTAGAATTCCACACGGATCACCGTTTTACCGCACGTCTTTAGGCGCTGCTATGGCCGATAAGCCTGGCCCGCACGAGATTGGCCAAGAATTCGGGACCCTTGCCGGTCCAACACCAAGACGAGAATTGACTGGTCGACAATCTGGACCCAACAGCCAATCATGACCCAGTATTGGCCAAATGCCGGTTGCCAATGGCGCATCCAGAACGCGTCAGAAATTCCAGAAAGTTATAACCACTTATGCTATATATATACGAAGCGCTGTACAACTGTTTTTGACTTCGTTTAGGGCATTAATAGACCTTGCGCTCCTTTGGTGGTTGTTTTGACGTGAAGGCTTGCTCGGGAGCCTCAGACCGAGAAATAAGCTGAGGAAATTACCGTATTACAATCGGTGAACGAGAACCCACGATGTCAATCGATTTCGATCAGCTCCAAGAACTGTTTCAGCAGCAACAAAAGCAGTTTGAAGAAGCGCAACTGAAGCTCATTGAATCACTGACTCAGAAACTGCATATCGTAACAGCAGCAGTCAGTACTGGTGAGTCTTCTGTTTCCTCAACTGATGCAACCGCGGCCTCAGTTACGGAGTTCACATTCGGCCCTCTTTCTCGTCACACTTTTGACTCTTGGTTCAAGCAGTACGAAGACATGTTCAAGACTGATTTCTCCAAAGTTAATGATGGATGGAAAGTTAGACGATTGCTGCGAAAACTCGGCACACCGGGGCATGAACGGTTCACAAATTTCATCCCCCCCAAGCTGCCCCGCAACCTCAGCTTTGATGAAACGTTCAGAACACCGTCCCAGATCAAACATGACTGTTCACTATCCGCTACCAATGACTAAAGTTGGTCAAGAATGATGACGATGATTTCATCACGTTTGCCGGTGTTGTCAGTCGAGAATGCGAGCGCTTCAAGCTCAGCTCAATGACGGGGAATCAGTTTAAGTGCCTCATTTTTGTGTCCGATCTTCAGTCATCCCAGGATGCTGACATCAGAACCCGGCTTCTTAACAGAATTGAACAGGATAATGAAATGACGTTGCAGAGCCTCATCACTGAATGCCAACGCCTCATCAACCTGAAGCACGACACGGCTATGATCGGTCAGTCACCTGTGACCTCAAGCAGCTGTGTACAGGCAATCAACTACAGCGTGCCCAGGAAATCCGACAAGAAGCCCGATCGAAGACAGGGTAAGCCTCCCACGAGTTGCTGGCATTGCGGTGAGTGGCATTTTGCTCGTTATTGCCGGTTCAGGCGTCACAAATGTTCCAGGTGCAGTCGTCGCGGCCACAAAGAAGATTTGTGTCGATCTCAAAGATTGCAGCCACCCGCACACCACCGTGCAGCCCACAAATCGCGGTCCAACTCGGTGACGGCAACATTCAAAGTTGATTTTGCTTGCCGAAGGAAGTTCGTGACGGTTCGTATCAACGACATCCCAGTTCGGTTGCAACTTGATACTGGCTCCGATATCACGCTGCTCAGTGAACGAACGTGGAAGCGAATCGGTAAGCCATATGTGAAGCCGACTGATCACTGGGCCCGTAATGCTTCCGGTGGCAAACTGAAGTTGACTGGCGAAGTGGACTGCCTCATTAACTTCAAGGACTCGACGGCACAAGCCACCTGCTACCTGACGTCATGCCCCAAACTTGATCTCATGGGGCTAGATTGGATCGAAAAGCTAAACCTGCTGGATAAACCAATCAACTCTATTTGCAACGGCATACACGCAGCACCCGGACAAATTGACTTGCCGAAGCGTTCACTTGAGCACCTCCTACAACGTTATGCGTCTGTATTCACTGACGAACTTGGACGGTGTACAAAAGCAAAAGCCAGACTGTGCCTCCTCCCTGGTGCCAAGCCAGTCTTCAGGCCAAAACGTCCAGTGCCTTACGCAGCCTTGCCTATCGTCGACCAAGAACTGGACCGACTTCAGAAGGCGGGTGTTCTCCAAGCGACCAACTACTCGGCTTGGGCCGCACCTATTGTGTTGGTAAAGAAGGCTAACGGGACGATCCGGTTGTGCGCAGATTTCTCCACCGGTCTCAACGCGGCACTGGATACCCATCAATACCCTCTGCCTCTCCCAGACGACTTGTTCGCGAAACTGAATGGGGGTAAATGTTTCGCAAAGATTGACTTGGCCGATGCGTATCTCCAGGTTGAAGTGGAGGAAGAATCCCGAGAACTGCTCACGATCAATACGCATCGAGGTCTGTTCCAGTACACTCGACTGCCATTTGGTGTCAAAGTAGCGCCGGCCATATTTCAACAGATTATGGATACGATGCTGAAGGATGCACCAGGCGTTGCCGCCTATTTGGATGACCTCATTGTCATGGGTTCCAATCCCCACGAACTGTGGCAGCGCCTTGATTACGTGCTTAGTCGTATTCAAGAATATGGCTTCAAAGTGCGCCGAGAGAAATGCACATTTTTCATGCGGTCGATAAAGTACCTGGGGTTCATTATTGACGAACATGGCCGCCGTCCAGACCCGGAGAACATTGAAGCGATCAGACGTATGCCAGCACCCACAGACGTGGCGTCCCTCAGGTCTTTCCTCGGTCTCGTCAGTCACTACAGTTCGTTCCTGCCTGCCATGCATCGCCTTCGAGGCCCACTAAATCAGCTACTTACCAAGGACCACAAGTGGACATGGTCAGAAGAATGTCAACGCGCCTTTGACTCTGTCAAATCCATGCTAAGTTCCGATTTGCTACTCACACACTACGATCCATCGATGGAAATTGTTGTGGCGTCGGACGCCTCGAACTATGGAATTGGCGCAGTGATTTCACACGTATTTCCAGATAGCAGCCAGAAAGCCATTGCACATGCGGCCAGATCCCTGACTTCAGCCGAGCGCAACTACAGTCAGATAGAAAAGGAAGCCTTGGCGATCGTGTTTGCCGTTAAGAAGTTTCATAAAATGCTTTACGGCCGTCAATTCACCCTACTGACCGATCACAAGCCACTTCTTGCTGTGTTTGGCTCGAAGAAAGGAATTCCGGCATATACTGCCAACCGGCTCCAGCGATGGGCCACTCTGCTTCTGGGGTACGACTTCAAGATAAAATACCAGTCCACTACCAGCCTGGGACAAGCCGACGCACTGTCCCGACTCATTGATTCAAGCAGGCCAGAACCAGAAGATACCGTGATCGCAACAATTGCCTTGGAACCAGAGGTTAACCACGTAGTTTCCGAAGCTGTTCGCATCCTCCCAGTGACTGCCGACATGGTCCGAAGGCTACCGATCAAGACCATGTGCTGCAGCAAGTCATAAAGTACCATCGCAATCAGTGGCCGCGTACCTGCCAAAAAGACGAACTAAGGCCTTACTTCAACCGGCGTGACGCATTATCACTAGCCGATGGATGCCTGTTGTTTTCAGAACGAGTGGTCATCCCAAAGAAGTTACAACCAGCCGTCCTGAATCAGTTCCATAAAGGGCACCCGGGAACAAACAGGATGAAGGCCCTTGATCGGAGTTATGTCTACTGGCCTTTGATGGACTCCCAGATCGAGCAAGTCTCAAGATCGTGCCTTGGCGTGCGGAAGCATCCAAAACATCCGTGAAAACCTACCGCCGCAACCGACCGAACTCTGGTCTCGTCTTCACATCGATTATGCAGATCCAGTGGGTGGCCAACACTTTTTGGTCGTAGTCGACGCTTATAGCAAATGGCCGGAAATTTTTCCGATGAACAGCCCCACAACTGCCATCACAGTCCCGGGACTCCGGCGATTGTTCAGTCGCTTAGGAACGCCAGAGACTATTGTATCCGACAACGGCAGACAGTTAACGTCGTCGGCGTTCACACACTTTTGTCGGGGGTATGGCATAACGTATATACGCTCGCCGCCGTTTCATCCACAGTCGAACGGCCAAGCGGAACGCTTTGTTGACACTCTGAAGCAAGCACTTCAGAAGTCCAGAGGGTAGGAACCATTGGAAGAAATTTCGCAGAGGTTCCTGCTGGCGTATCGAGCGACCCCAAACCCCAACTCACCTGATGGAGTATCACCAGCAGAGGCGCTACTCCGAGGGAGGCTCCGAACACCGCATGACACTATCCAGCCACAAACAAAGCAGGCTGGTCACCGCAACACCAGAATGGAGGAACAGTTCAACCGGCATCATGGAGCAACTGCGCGCGCTTTCAGCAAAGGCCAGAGAGTGTTGGTTCGTGACTGCAGCGGCAGACGCCCTACGTGGACCCCAGGACTCATCCTTTGCCGGCGCGGCAAAGTGCTCTACGAGATTCAAGTTGGTCCAGCCAGGTGGATACGCCACGCGAATCAAATCCGGCCGAAAGTTGCGCAGATCCTGCCTACAGGACCGAGTGTTATGGGTCAAGAAATGCATCTGGACACCTTTGATCTCGGCACCACCCCAGAAAATCAACCAGTTGCTTCGTCGGAGGCCCAGCCTGAGCACGGATTACAACCGCAACGCTGTACAGACGGGATCCGCAGGCCAGTGAGACTACTGCAATTGAACGCTCGGCTTTGAAGCTACGTCAACAAACTTCAAGGAGAAGTTGTTAGGCAGAATTCCACATGGATCCCGCTTTACAGCACGTCTTCAGGCGCTGCAATGGCCGATGAGCTTGGACCGCACGAGATTGGCCAAGAATTCGAGACGCTTGCCGGTCCGGCATCAAGATGAGAATTGATTGGCCGACAATCTGGACCCAACAGCCAATCATGACCCAGTATTGGCCAAATGCCGGTTGCCAATGGCGCAACCAGAACGCGTCAGAACTTCCAAAATGTTATAACCGCTTACGATCTATATACGAAGCGCTGTACAACTGTTTTTGACTTCGTTTAGGGCATTAATAGACCTTGTGCACCTTTGGTGGTTGTTTTGGCGTGAACGCTAGCTTGGGAAGCTCAGACCTTGGGCTTAGCTGAGGTAAATACCGTCACTACAAGTCCCTTATTCAGCTAATCAGTCGGAGCCCACACAGTTGCTCAGGCGAACAAATTAATTAACCACATCGACTGGCTTATATAAAAGCATGATGTTTGGGTTTAATTCCACCATGCACTGTGGCAGCACTTTACACTTTGTACATGCGAAGCGCGCACCAAGCCGCGCGGCAGAATAATTCGGTCCACCTAAAATGGTTTGCATCT